TACAGCATTCTTTTCTTCAACTCAGGATTTCAGCTGACTCACACTGTGAAACTCAGAGGGGCTGGTTTTCTTATAAGGGGCACGAGCCTTGAGACTGCAGTTATTCAAGAACCCCAGAGTAACATTTTACCTCCTCACTAGTTTTCCGCAGACATAGGTGAGTTTTGCTGTTGTTTTGTGGAGGTTTTTTTTTTGTACATATGTGTTACATTGGCACTGTGACTCCTTAGAACTACTAAGATGATAAATGGGCATTTATGAAATAAATTCTAATCAAAGTACCACAAGTACAAGGACCTGGCCTAGAAAATTTTTAGGTCACACAAGTAGCATCTCTCATGAGAATTACCACTGGGACTACTCATGCAAACAATGTTATTCACATAGTCAACATCTGCAGAGTCAGACTCCAAATTAGTATTTTGGGGACATACTGCTACCTCAACTCACAAATACAGGAAGGAAAATCAGGGTCATTTTCAAACTGCTGTAAACTTCTCCAATTCTGTCATTATCTGGATGTTCAGCACAGCCTTACAGAACTCATAGCTGGTATCTCAACTACTTGGTTAGTAGTTTTATTAGTAAATATTTACAATTACAAATAAATTACAAATAAATATTTCTATCATCCAACCCTTCCCCCTACCCCCACCCCTCCCCCATGAAAAGCTAACCACTCTGCTACATAAACAAGCAAAGAATGTATTTATTCCTCAATATCTATCTATATTGTTGTCATGATTTTATGATTTTTGGTTATTGGTATTCCACATCATAACATCATGTAGGACACTGGGAGTTTAAGTGTTAACGCTCCAGCTCCTGGTACCTGTCCAGAAGAGAAGAAGAATGACCTACCCCAGGGGGCTTTGCATTCGGAGAGAAGATATAACCCCTGGCAAGGTCACCTGATGTCCCTTTTTCATCAGGCTCTCCTCTCCACTGCTCAACCGGACTGCACATCTCACCTCAGTGTTATGGTGAGGCCTATCCACCTCTTGGACACTCTCATTATATTTGATTAGCTTCAATTCTAACTATATTGTATTATAGCGTGTTATCTTGCATTTTGATACTATATTTAGTAAATTAGTTTGTTTCTCCTCAGATCACATTGCTGTTTTTAATTATTTTGGGGTCCCCTGTTTCCCTTTTCCAGAGGCATGGATTTTGTGAAATCCCTCTGCCCCACTAGTCACAGAACTGGGTCAAACCAGCCCGTAAACCACTGACAACTGTAATTCTGGAACTAAGAAATTTTAGACATGCAGCTCATAACAGAACTGGTTCATAGTCTACAGCAGCTGTCCTCAACCAAATACTTCATTCCAGGTGAGGATAACTTGTAAAAACACTGGAACTACTTCAAGAGTAGCTACAACAGCTCAGAAGATGTAGGCCTTGGGGCAAACGACTTTAAAAATAATTTTTAAAGCTGCGACCAATAAAGATGTTAGTTTTCAGAAAGTGAAGGTACAAGCTGTCCCATTCATTGGAATCAGAGCTACACATACTCAAAGAGAGCTGTTCTACCAAACACTGAAAGCATCTACACAACACAGATGACAATTCAAACACTAAAGATACAGGCTGTAAAGACAACTATATTCAGAGCAGAGTTATAGCTCAGAGCTCAAGCATCATTGTACCAAGTTGGTTTGGGCCAAAGCTGGTACCCCTTCAGAGCTGAGCCTTCAGAAAATGCTGCCAGGGATTATACCTAAAGGAACACTGCAATGTATACACATTTGAAGACTTTTCAGAGAAGTATCCAACTAAAAGGCTTACAGTAAAACCATATTCATCTCCACTAGGGTCTCCCCAGCAACTCAGTTTTCCACACACATCTAAAACCTAGATTAAGCTTCTGATTTTCCCCTTGGAATGCTCTCCCAGTCCTAACATAGCAGGCACTACTACAGGACCATTTATTGCTAACTGAAAATAACAGCAGTGCTGTTGCCGTAACAATCACCTGTTACAGTAGTGTTTATTGTGGTTGTGGTTTCCATTACAGCTCTGCAATCACACTGGTGTGACACATTCTTGTTAGCATTGCGTACAGAGTTTTATATCTAGCATGCTACAGACCTCTTGTAGCTCAACTAAACTACAGGAAAAGCATTTCTAATTACCTAAGGAACGCATACATAGTTTTAATCAATTTTCTTCTGGAAAGAAAACAGAGTTTCTTCACAAAGAGACTTAATTTTGCAAAGTGAAGCAGGACTGGATGACCCGGAACACTTAAGAGTTGAAGCTATTCAGCATTTTGCACAAATTTACCATCTTCAAATGGGTATTCACAATGAGTAAATCACTGATCAACCAAGCATCTCCTTGAAAAAAAATCAGATAACTGAAGTGATTTTGTTACTCAAATTCCAGTTTAAAAAACATGCGAGAAGCACCACTTCATGTAAAGATTTATTTTTTTCCACAAAGAGAAAATACTGTAAAAGGTTTACTCTTCACATTAAGAGTATTGAACAACAGACAACATTTTCAAATTCAGCCCATATATTCCAGCATAAGATAATCTAACAAGAAAAAAAAATGTATAACTTGTAAGAAATGTTATAAATCAAAGCAGGTTCATTTAGGATCCACTAAAACTCTTACACACTTCCATTACAACACAGAAGGAACTACATTAGATATTATTTTGCAGTAGCCTGGCATACTGCATTTACATCTTAAAAAAAAAAACCCACAGTTTAAAGCACTTGCTATTTATTGTATAAAAGAAAACACTTCAAGTACCCACAAGTTCCCTGAGAAATAGTCCTGAATTTCAGAATCCCAAGGAGATGAATTGGCTGTCAGATAACAATGGCCCTTCGTCAGATGGGCTTGGCAGTTGTAAACAAGAAGAAATTTCTCAGCTTTTCCTCACAAATATGAAATATTTGCTCTTAGCCAACAGCTGCGGCAGTTTAAAGACATCCTGCGTATTTATTCAAATTACAAGTCACCCACACACCTAACACTGACTGAATTTCAGCAAATTTAAAAATACTCTGACAATTACTGCAGCAGACAAAATAATTCTGAAGACAAAGCAGAATCTAACTTTGTGGGTGTAAAATAGACTGAACTCCCTAAGTCAGTTTTCCTGCTATAGAGTAAATAAAATAATCTACAACAGCAGCTGCAGATATCAGAATTTTTCTTCTGAACTATAAATGTTCCAGTGATGTGTGATATATTTCTTTCAAAGTATTTCACTGATTTGTCAGGAAGAAAAAAGCAAAAATGTAATAGTGAAAGTGAACATTTCTTACAAGTATTATTAACTATTGAAGTCCAATTTGTCATTTTCAGTATCACAACTCTGTACTCAACATAAGAATTCTTATGACTAAATATATTTTTAACCTACCTGCTAATCTCAAGATTTATTATTATTATTATTATTATTATTAAAGTATTCACCATTATGTAACAGGAACTTTCTTCAAGATAATCAAGAAGTGAAGTTGACTACATAGTGTTTTCAAATTTCACAACTACTCTGTATCTCAGTATCAAGTCACATACACAGCTAAAGTGCACTTTCTTTAATGTTTATTAATGTTTCATCTATATGTTCTTACTCTTGCAATACAAACTACACTACTGTTTAATTTCTTGTTACATCCCATAAACCAAATTTAGGAATGTGTACATACTATTCCAATATATTCCTCAGCAGGAAAAGCTACACTGAGTCCCTAAACTTTATACTAAAGTTTAAAACACATTGTAAAAAATGTTGCATTAAGTCTTTTAATATGACTTTGAATAATCTGACTACACAGTTCTCAGAGCAATCCAATTTGAAATTATTCAGAAAATGCTATGCTCCACAGTGACACTTCCAATTTTGAGGTCAAAAGGTTACTTTATTTGAAGAAAAAAGAAGAGACAATTATTTCAAGTCCATGATATTTCAGATAAAAGAATTATAAATTAGCCATTACTAAGTTCCTTGAAAAGCTTTGTCTATATTTACAAGAAATAATGGCTGAGTGTTTTTGTCTTACACACAGATTCAGAGTATAGCTGTTACAAGAAAATGTTTAAGCCAGTGCTCCTTTGCAGTGCAGAAGAGAGATTGTTCTGAAGTTAAGACACCAGTGAATGCAAGTGAAACCAAGATCCCAGAGGCTTGCATAAAAAAAAAAACATGATATAATGAAAATGCAGCAACTAAGATGCCTGATAATGAAAGCCCTATAGTTCTACACAAACACACATTAATAAAGTTGCTTTCTCAGGGTTTCCTAACTCCAAGCTCAAACTATACTCAACTGTCAGCATCTGGCCTTTAATGAGATCCATTTTGTAAGAGAAGTTGTACAATGCATTTTAAGCAATGTTTTCATTTGAGAAAATGTAGCAAGTATACACAGAAAGTTAATTCCCAAACCTGTTCAGCTTCTCTTCTACCCTCTTACTCATATCCTATTTACGTCCTGCCACAAAAAAAAAAAGCCGATGTCCACATTTCAGCTTCACTGGACAAAATTCTCTCTTTCCCTGCAGCATGCATTTTTATTTACTTTTAAAAGTCAAGTTCAATTCATTCATTCATTCCAGAAAATTAGTTCATATTTTTTTCTTAAGTCCTCATAAAAGCTTTATGCAAGAACTGGCATCAAATTCAGCTACTGCTACGTATCAAGATGACTTCACAACAAACAGTAATTTCCAATGAGAAATCATATAAAACACCCAACACCCAAAAAACAGGCTGTTGCAGTTATGTACCCATGGACACTTTTTAAAATGCGAATACATTCATAACATTCAAGATATTTTCAGTAAGATATTGAAGTTTACACCTCAAATCTGGACTGCTCTATCAAGCTTTCCCCTCAACATCCATACAAATTGTTTGAGAATTTCTTACTTCTGTGTCTCAATAAGGATATCCCAAGTTTAAACATGTGTGCTTTAACACCTGATTTGGCAAGAAATTATTTTCTGATACATTTAGGATTAGAAATACTTACAGCCTCTCCAGTTCTTTTAAATCCTGAAATGCTCCTCTCTCAATAGTGCTAATCTTGTTCTCCATGAGCTGACTGAAACGGAGAAATTTTTATACGTAAGTTTTAACAGCTCCAAGACCACTTGTTGCATTAACAGCAGTCATTTACAGACAGCCCTATCTTCATTAAAATGCTACTACAGTTATTCTAGAGTGACAACCAACACAACATTTTTGACCACTATCACCCCACACTTTGCTTGGGCTCATATAGCCAAAAAAAAAAAAAAAGGAAAAAATAACCCTCATTAAAATGATGTTACTTTTACTTATTTGCTTGAAGAGTCCCAAGAGTCCCAAGTTGAAACATACATGCTGCACACATATCAATCCTCTCCAGCTTTAAGACCCCAGATGAACAGTACAAAAGCAAAATGAGTCTCATGTAAGAACAACACACAAATACAGAACTGTGGCATGCAGAAAAAAAAATAAGTGAATTGTTACAATAATAATAGTTTAACAAAAACTAAAAATTACTACAGTGTTTAAGAAGAAAAAAATGCTTTTATTTGACTATTTGCTCAAATAAAACAGCCTTAACAATTAAGCTAATTGTACAGTATTTTAAACTTGCTCTCATTTACCCTACCTTCCCCCAAACCCAGACGTGGAAAAGCTTCATAATGCTTGCAGGAGGATTTACAGAACCAATCTTAATTATTCCCTGGTCAAATTCACTGTTTAAAGTATATTCTTTTTACCCAGAAACTGCAGAAAAGCAATAATCATTGCCTGAGACTTGCTTTTATACTGAGTAGAGGAATAACTTTTTCCTCTTTAATGAATCCCCCTTTGCTTCAGCGTACCCATTTTGAACAGGAACTATAAATTTGCTAGGCTTAAGCTCTATCTTACAAGTTACAAACCAAATTAAAACTTCCATTCACTTCATAGCCTTAAGAAGAGATTTAAAGAATGATAACCAAGATGACATTTAAGGCATTTGCTAACTTATTTCTACCAGCTTATGTCATGGGGGAGGGGCTGTAAATTCAGAAGCAGTAGCACAATAGTTGCAAAGCAATGGATAAACTAGAGGATAACTAGCTTAACAGTTTTTATAACATGAGCTGTAGGATCAGTCCAAGAAGTATTAGCTATTGAAAGAGAGAACTTACAGAACTCGAAGGTGCCTTAGACCAGCAAAGTCGGTCTTGGTGATTCTGGTGATGTTATTTCCATTAAGGTCCCTGAGAAGAATAATTCATAAGCAGCAAAATTAAAACATTCAGAAGTTCGGGATTTTTTTCCCCTCCTTAAAATACTTTGTTTTTATGGGCAAGTTTGTTTGTTTGTTTTTAAATTAGCAAACGTGAACAATACCAATGAGCCATTCCTGCAACACTGTGTGAACTCCAGACTTAAGTGACCAAAAGAGAGTTTATCTGCACAGTGGTAGTTTCAAACTTTGTAATCAGAGACCCTCACAAAGTGAGTTCTTCCTACCATTATACTGCTCACATTTATCTTTAGCAATAATGAACAGCCTAAGCCTGTCTGAGCAGGTCAGATCTGCTCTGTTAGAACTGCAGCTAGAAAACCAGTAAAGCTCCTTTATGGACACGACAATATCTGTTAAGGTTACAGACTGACAGTCACAAACCAAACAAGTGACTGAAATCAGGACAATCTTCTACATTTTAAACAACTTCCAGCTTTCACACTATTTCTACATAGGTAGAAGAGAGCTTTACTTGCTGCAGCAAACATTAGCTTTTGAAGCAGTCGTACAGTTGTTGTAGAGTAAATACTTGGGAACAGCATTTTACAAAAACTGAACGCTTCACATGTGGCACAGGAAGCAATACTGACTGCAGAACACAACGCATGGTCAGAAGCGATGGAAAACTGGATTAAGGCCCTGACATCTCTGCTTGTATGCTAGCACTTCTTTTCTGGAGTTGTTTGTTCCCTTTTTTCCTCTTTTTATTTAAATAACATTTTAGGTTTGGATAACAGCTTCCCTCAATTCCAGTCACTGCAAATAAAACCAGACTTTGCAATTCCTGAGGTAAGCTATTAGGAAGTGGTATTACACAGAAACTACACTGACAATTACAGCTCATTCCCAACGCGTTTGGAAAAAAAGTCACTGTTTTTGGTGTTTGTACCACATGTGGCCGAAACACCACTGCGAAGAAACCACACAAGTCTCAGCAGAAATCAGTGTCCCTGACACTCGGAGTGAAATGCATCATTTGAGACATGTGTTCATAGCCCAACGTTTAGATGAGTTATTAGAGGTTAAAAAAATAATGCACTTATCTCTTCCTCTCCCTTAGACCCCCCCGAAATAACAGGAAAGAGCCGACCACACGCTTGCGCTTCCACGACTGGAAAGCACTCTCAGCGGAGGGCACTCGAATGCTCTCAAAAAGCGATTGGGGTGGGGGGTGAAGGCCGCAGTTCAGGCGCAACTTCGCGCTGTGCGGCTGGGGAAGGGGCTACAGCACCAACGCCGGCAGCGAGCGGCAGCGCGGAGCTCCGCGGGGGGCGGCTGCCGCTGGACTACGAGCACCGCAGCGAAAAGGGCAGAGGAGGAAGGGGACGGAACCGCCACCCCCTCGCTATATACACACACGGAGGGCGGCGGGACCCCCGGGGGCCACCTCTGTCTCGCGGACGCCGCAAGCCCGCCGGGAGCCGCCGGCTCGGGGTACTTACAGCCGCTCGGTGTTGCGGGGGATGTTCCTCGGGACGCCGCGCAGCGCCAGCCCGTGACAGTCCACCGTGCTTCCTGAGCAGGAGCACTGCGCCGGGCACGGCTGCGGCGCCGCCTCGCCCGCCAGCACCAGCAGCAGTCCCAGGGCCAGGGGGAGCCTCCCCCAGGCGCACATCATCGTCGCCCGCTGCGCCCGGCCGGGGCCCGCCGGCCTCGGGCCCGGGGAGGCGCGGGGCGCGCCGCCCTCCTCCTCCACCTCGCCGCGGGGAGCGCTCGGGCAACTTTCAGGGTGCGGAGAAAGCGAAGTCCTCTCTATCCAGAGCCGAGCCGAGCAAACAAGCCCGGCAAAGTGCGGCGGGTGGCAGCGATCCGCGGCTGAAGGCAACTTGGCGGGGAGGGGGCCGGGCCGGGCCCTCCCTCCGTAACCCGTCGGATGGCGGGGACGAGCGGCACTCGGCTCTCGGCTTCAGCGGCGCCGGCTCCTTCGCGTGCTCCTCTCCCGGCCGTGCCTCCCCCACGGCTTCCTCCTGGCGCGGCGTCCGCTCCCACGCGTGTCCCCGCCGCGGGCCGCTCGCAGCCCCCGGGGACGGCGGTGGGGCTGCACCGCGCACACACAGCCCTGCTGCGGGGCTCAGCAAATCATCCCCCACTGGCAGGCATTCATCAAACTGTCTCACGGAAGGAAGAGGGAGTGGAGATTAAAAAAAGAAAAGAAGAAAAAGTCAAACACACGAGATGATGTTGGGCTCGGGGTTCGGCTTTCCACCCCCCGCGCCCCCTCCTGCTGGAAGCTCCCAAGCCAAGTTTAGCAGGAAAGGGCTGGTCCTAGAGGCCGATAATAATAAGCAGCTCGAGAAGTGATTCGTTGCCCTGCTGGAAGGGAGTTCATCCACCACCTCCTTCTCCGCGGTGACAGATCACAGCAATAGATCCTCCCGTGATCGCGGAGCGCGGTGAGCTGCGCGCCCGGTTCCGCTCCTCGCGGTCTCCCGGATACCGCGGCTGCGGCGGAGGGACCTGATGGGAAAGGTGGCGGCCGCTCAGTCCTTCCAGGTGAGGCCGGTTCGGCAGCTCCCGGGCTCGCCGCAGGAAAGGCAGCAACTTTCCTTCTCTCCCGTAGCCCGACGAGGCGCAACGCCTCAGGAAAGCTCCGCGCCCGCTCCGCCGCCGCACCTGAGCCGCCGGTGCCGAACAACCCGGCGGCGGCGCTCCTCCTGCGGCGGAGAGAAGCCGGAGAAGGGAGGCGACACGCCGGCTCCTTCACTCGCCCCCTTGAACAATAGGATGGCACCGCCGCCCGCAGGCTGGCTCTCCTCTCCGCAGCAAGGTGCCCACCGCCGCTGTCCGCGGAAAGTGCTCCGGGGAGCGGCCGTCAGCGCCGAACCGCTGCACCGCTCCGCCTCGCCCGGCGCGGCGCCTCTCGCCCCGCTCCCACGGAGCCGGGAGCGCCCCACGCGCCGCCCTATATAGGGGCGGTGGGGCCGCGCCTCCCCGGCCCCGCCCGCAGCGCCCCGCGCCGCGCTCACTGGCTGCGCTGCCGCCCGCCCCGGCCCGGCCCGGCCCGGAGAGCAGTGGGGGGGGGGGGCCGGCGGCTACGCCAACAATGAATGAAAGTTGGGCGAGCGCGGAGGCGGTGCCGGGAGGGGCAGCACCCGTGAGAGCGTGGCGCTTTCCCCCTCCAGGAGTTCTGCGGGGACTTTCTCACGCGGCCTCCGGGTGTCAAACGGAGGGAGGGAGCGGGGCTCTGGTCTGCCGCGGTGTCTGCGTGTGTTGCGCCTGGAGGGAGAGGGAGGGAGCGGGCTGAAGCGTCGCCTGCTGCACTCGTACACATCTCCGGCTTCTCAACGAGGGTCTTGTGTTTTGTTTCTCCCACTACTGAGGGAGGAAGAGGATTTTCTTGGCGTTTCCTTCAGTTACAGCTTTCGTGTGAAGTACACCAGACTCTCCCATGAATTATTTTTGAAAATTAAATGAGCAAGTGTTATTCCATATATAAAAACATGTCGAGCAGCAGCATGAGCGCTGCTCTTTACCATCCGCTTCCAAAAGTTGTACTATGAATAAACACAATGTTCCTGTTAAATTCTGTTGTTTATTGTCGTTGCATCTTCAGCATTCCTAGGAAAATGTAAGTGCATCAGGTTTCTAACTAAACTGGTTTTAATTTTCCTTCCTTGTGCATGCAGCTCCATGTGATTTACAACGTCCTGAGACCTCAGCAATAGGTGAAAGTGCTTTATCTTTCAGTCCCTAGCAGGGATGGATGATGGAGCCTCCAGCAAGGTGTGGTGTGTAAATGCTCCAGGGAGTCCCTAGTTCCTTCCATATGGCTGCGTCCAGCTGAGGCTCTTCATCCCTGGGGTCTCTGCTGCACAATCCCCACAAGAGGCTTTCCCTTTCGTGGTTACCAAGAAGACAAATTCTCCCCTCAGAAACACTCTCCTAGAGTTAATCTGCCCAGGTGGAAGCCAGTAAACTTATTCCTGACTTCTCTTGCTGTGGAACGTGAGCCAAAATGAAAATGTCTAGAATGTATGCGTGCAGCGTCTGATGCACGGACTCAGATGTGAATGATCCAAACCGTTTATTACAAGTTCTCACATCACTTATATACCTTCACAAGTTTTCTTTTTCTAGCTTTCCCATCCGCCCCTACAACTTTCTAATCCACCTTTACATGTCAACAGAGCATTCTACAAAACACTCTTCAACCGTTCACACAGGCGCTTATCCAATCAGAGCCATGAGACGTTCTTCTTCTAGAGGTGTCCTTGGTTCTCATGCTGTTTATCTTGCTCCACAGCTTCTGCTCTGAACAGTTTTTCTTGTATTCCCACATATGCATCTACAAAAAACACTGTTCTATTTTTTTGATCCATTTCATGAAATGTGATTGTTGTACAGCTTTCGCATGCTGGACTCGCTGAGACACAGGGATGCTCTAGGTTTAGCTGATGTGGAAAGAATTCAGCGACTGTAAGGGAAGATGTCAGCTTCTGTGTATGAATGCTTCCTACTCTTTTCTCCTGTTGATTGTTTTAGGTCTTTACAAGGGATTTAGGAAGGATTTTGCAACTTTCTACCAGGCAACAGGAAGGAAAAAAAATTAAAAATGTAATCTAAAATATTGCTTTCATTCCTCTACTAAAATCCTTTATCTTACAACTCCAGGCAGAAAAAATACAGAGAACACTAATGTAACTGTTCAGTATTATTCATTATTTCTTTCAAGTATCAACAGCATACCAAGTGTTGCTGAGGACAGAAGTAGAAAAAATAATAAGCTATTTTTATATAGTGATTTTCTGAAAACCTGATTCAATGTTTAAAGTATTAAATGTTTCTGAACTGCTCTGTGCATGGCTGATTCAAAATCTAGGCTGGTCTTAATTTAATATACTTTGTTTTCAAATAGGCATATACTAAAGTCCAAAGAAAATCAATTTTTATTCCTCTTTGGGGGGCTCATTGATTTCTACCATGCCTACCTTTGAAGCATACCTTTCATTCATTCAGATTGATTTTTCTGAGCGACTCCCCTCCCAGCACATCGCAACTCTCCTTTTGTAATCCAAATTCTTTAACGGGAGAGCTCCCCACGTCCTCACTCTGTCTGAGGGCGAGGCCTCCGGTCAGACCCGAGATAGCATTATTCCTGGAGAACAAACCTGGCCCCCACAGAGAGCACAGTGGCTGTCCCAGTTGCCTGCAGAAGCATCTTTCAAAGCCAACAAGGAAAATATTCCCACAGAGGTGAAAGTTGGGAAAAAGTTGTAACAGGAAGATGTGAAAGAAAGCAATTACATACGTTCGTCAGTGGAAGAACAAAAGTTTTGCTGCAGCCACATCAGAAAATTCAGAGAGCAGCTAAACAAACTTTTGTGTTCTCCAGGCTTTACTGTACAACATTCCACCTTTTGGAGGATTGGTATACGAGAGGGAGGAAGGGAGGAAGGGAGGAAGACCCCCCCTTATCCCCACCCCCTCCCCCCC